TCATTTATAGATATTTATTTATTAATTAGTTGATCCAAATGTTGAAAAATTAATTTTATCCAAGGAGAATTTTTTAGGGGGATGAATTACGGGGGTATTCCAATTGAGAAGGATTTTTCAAAGAAATGAAATTTCAGTACCTGAGTCTCAATAATACGGCTTGTAATCAGCACGAAGTAACAGGCCAGTAAATTTCACGGTGTGATTAAGTTTTGCAAGATAAGCGGATGAATTTCGGAAATTAGCCTCAACCGTACATATTATTAATTAGTTTGTACTTACTATGAACGGCACATTTAATGAGATGTCCGCAATCTTTTTCCCACACTTTAATTCTTAACACCAATGATCGAATTTTTCCTCAGTGACCATCAATCACTCATGGCTCCGTCGCCGTCGTCTATCTACTGAGGTGTTCCCGTGTATAATTATTTGCGTACACAGCCATCGTTTGTTGATGAAACGAATGGGAGAATGATCGATCCATTCATAGGATTTTACCGAGAATATCGGCACAACATGAAATTCCGTAGCATAGCGAGAAAATATCAACGGTGACTATTTGCTCCAATATCGATATTTATATTCGGTAGGTCGTCATAACAGTTATTCAGAAAATGTTAACCGAAGTCGTGATTTCATTTTTCCCTCGAAATCATAAACTCTACAACAGGGGTGTAATTTTTTTCCGATATTTCTCAATCGCCAAATAAGAAATAAAAAATATGAAAACGTGGTCTCGCAGGGTATGTTAATTAATCATAATTAAATTACATTATTTTTTTCATAGAAGAATACATATAATTTATTTTGCTATAATTTATGTTCAGAGTGGTTTCTGTCGTTTATCGCAAAATACTGGAGAATAATGAAAGAAAAAAATAGTCAGAAAATAATGAGATACTAATGAAATCCGTTCCATTGGAATTACAGATTGAATATTCCTAAGTGAACAAAACAGAAAAAAATATAGCATTTTCAGGAATGGAAGAAATTTACCGAAAAAAAGTATGTTTGCAAATACACAAACAATGTCAATTTTTAGAATTTACTTGTTACTTTACAAAGTACAAAGTACTTTAGAATACAAAATCAATTTTTACAATTTATAGTTATTATTTGTGATCCAAACAATAGTTTCAGACAGATGATCAATTCCATAGAAAAATAGAATCTCTCATTCGTTCTACTTTTCAATCGTTAATTTTCGGAATTTTGAATCGAAATTAATTCTGAATTTCTCGTGTTTTCTGGTTGCATAAATGCTGACTCTCGGTTCTGATAATCAAGTCCACACTGGAACAATGGAATCTTCCAAATCTTCATCCGACATTTTCGCTCCATCATGCACCAGTCGAATATGATATGCATATCGCGTACTCTCAGATAACGACCTCCAACTGGAAAACAGGATGAAATCGAAACTTGAATTAACTGTCAACGGGACTGATATAATAACATTGAATTCCAAATCTCGATTAATTAAAGGAAAGAAAATTTGTTAACTTGAGCTGAGAAAATGACGTACTTGCATTAGTTTCGAGACTATCCCAGAGTTTAACACGGCGACCTCTTGCCAGTGTTAGGTTTATCCTGTAATCAACAATAAGTACTGTGAGTCTGTACACGCCGTCTGCTACAGAGCCATTCCCAAAATTCACATTCCCGACGGCATCTACAATGAATGAATCTTTGATGACCCTGTGAGGACTGAAACCAAAAAGACATACCATGAAAAACAATTCAGGATATATTTTATCATGAAAAATTTTCAATTCTCTGCTAATCCTTACCAACTGGTCCTTTAACTGTTGCAATTGTACCGAATTCTACTTCGGTATAGATCAGAGAATCTCGGAGTTCAGGATGATATTCTCCGTGAGAAAATATCTCACTGAAATGCTCCAGATGAAATTCGACTGGCAAGGTAGTCTGATTATCTACTGAATCATTTGGAATCGATCTGATGGTTCCTCGGGTGATTGTGAGATTCTATTACGAGAACAAAATGTTAGAATCTAAAACCGTCGAAATAAGTACTTGGAAATTCGTAAGAATGATAATATTAAAGTCGAAAATACCTTGTAAATGGTGACTTGAGATTTCCAGAATCTGATATTCGGCTCCCAAATGTATACATAAATCTGAATATCACGCGTATTGTTCATTCGGAAAATTGATGCAGTTTTCTTCTGTTCTTTCATCCACCTTTTACCCACAATAGAATCGATATACCCGGTGATAGTGCTAAACATGGAATAGAGAGAATGAATAACTCACAAATTGTGTCGTTCAATAAAAATGCCACATTCATTATTTTCTCGATGAATTCCAAGAAATAGAGAGGATAATCCTTCAAAAATTTTGGTGTATCGAATTATCATTCAAAACAAGAGAAATATCAAATTATCGACTGTCCCTTGAGCGCCCCAAATCGTCACGTTTATCCCGGTTCATAATTCTTGGTCACATTTTCTGATTAGAATTTGTAGATTTTTTTCATTTTTGGAACGAAAAATACTTACATGTTTGTATCACCAGGCATCAAACATTCGAACAACAGGTTCCCACTATAATTAACTGAGCTCGAAGCCATTGCCATTGCATCCACAATTCACAATTCACACGATGAACGCTAAGTCACTAATTCTACTGAAATCAGTGAAATGGAAAATATGGCCCAGAACGTAATATAGGCAACACAGGTACACTCGATCACATCGATATAAATATTGACGCTATCAGTGCTGTATTTTCGTTTGAATATCCCCTCTGGCTCCTGCCGGGGGGACTGACGGAGTGGGGACAGTCCATCCGCTGACAGGAAAATATATAAAATCCATGAGATACAATGAAACTTAAGTATTCAATGTTTTTTGATATGTCGAAATATAATTCTGTGTGTTTTTTCACAAGCTATGCATTCAGCGGTGATTAACAATTGAATTGTTCAAATACGCTTAACGCCATCATTTCCTTTTATATCGAAAAAAGATTGTTGTAAATATTCTCTTTAGAAGCTTATCAACAGAAAAACTTCAGTGTTTTTGGATTTGTTTGCATATTGAAGTACAATCAAATGAGCATCCACCGAAAGAAACGGAACGGGATGAAACAATTTTTCGAACCAATTACTCATTGATAGTGTAATTAAGTCATATTCTTACTCCATTACTCAGTAGATAAGTAATCGATAATTTTGTCATTTTAATTTCCAATAATTATGTAACGCATAATTACCAATTCCATTACTGATTAAGTTAGTAATGAAAATTCTCCGGGCATTAATTACTCATTACATGAGTAATGGAAATTGTCGCTATTGTCCATTAAGCATTTATCAATAATTTACTCATTTCTTTAGTTTCATTACAAATTATAAAGTAATCAAATATTCGGTTTTACTGATTATAATTAATTTAGTATTTGAAAAATGGATATTCATTATTGACAGGTATTGATGTAATGAAGTAATAGCAATAAAGCATTACTTTTTTGCCGATCCCTGGTTTCCCCCAACAATGTACTACTGCTTCACTTTGGCAGACATGAACTTAAATAGCCTGAAGATCCGAATGACTGGAACAAAAGAGACAGGGGTTTTGGAATATAACGAAACCACCTGCGATTGACATGATCTGAATAAGAAAATAATGAAAGTCATTATATTATTGATTAAGTGACAAAACAATATGTATTTTGAAAAAAGAAAAAATTGTGTTACATCCCTGTCCAATGATGCCTCTTATCAGTGCATCATCTTTATATTGGGAAAAATTAACACTGATTGATTTTCCTGTGAGATTATTTAGAACAAACGTATGATCCACATTTCCCTGGAAGTTACTCTCTTCATAATCATTCAAACTTTTTATCACACCGATCAAGGGGCTGCAAACACAAAAATCATATCAATTTTCTTTTTACTTATATTTCAGAGTATTTTTTGTAGATTTTGTATTTTTAGAATTGAAGGACCTCATGAGAACGTAGAAAAATCAAAATTCTGTTTCAACTATATGAGTTTTTCAGCAGATATTTTTTTTATTTGCATGACCGATCAAGGCTGTTTCTTTATTACGCCAAGAAAAGTGCCAAAAATATGAAAATATGGATTGTGTAAATTTGATGATAGAGAAAAATCAGTAAACGTTTCAAATTGTTCAGATGCTTCATGGAGGAGGAAATCGGAAAAATTAATTAACATGTTAGTAAGCAAAATATCGAAAGAATCTAGCTCCGTACAAAAAAGTGACTGAATTCTGAAACTGTGAAGATACACGGAAAAAATATAGAATTTTTTGGTGAGAGAAATGCAATAATTGGATGCTTTGATTTTTCTCAATTCAATCATTTCGGAAAAATATCCTATCGTAAAAAAGAGAAAGGAAATCTATCTCGAAATATCTCGAAACTCACTGTCTCGAAATCACTTTCATCGTAATACTGAAACTGACGCGCCACTACGGCCGTTTTCAGCAAAGCTTTAAAATCGTGAGCTTTCGGTCAAATTCGGGATATTCCGCGGCCAGCTTACGTTCGTTCGGTATCCGACAAAACAACGGAATGTAGCATCGCAACCGTTTAAGCTCTTTCAAATAATAAAAGTAATCCAGTGAAAACAATGGAATCGCCAGTCATTAAATTCACCACGAGCAAGGCCATCGACCATTTTAATGCAGGAGCCACATTAATGTATTTTTGAGGATTATCCTTGAAATTATCAAAATTTATTTTATCGAAGCTCCTAACCTCTTATTACCACGTGCTCGAGAAAGAGGATTATTGTTTTTTTTCCCCCAGGAAAATAACGGGATATGTTGACATACAATTTACGTGGAAAAGAAGAAATAATTCCAGAAAATGAATACGAAGAATCTGAAAATGATGAAAATGAAAAAGAAGAATTATCCCAAGCTAAAGACGAGTTGGAAGAAATGAATTCTGAAACTCGTAATTCAGAAAATGAATGTGATGAATCCGATCAAGCCGTGTTAGAGTGTATGCCTATTGACGATCATTGCAATTCGGAAAATAAAGAAAAATTCCATGTGATGTAAAGCCACGAACTATCGGAATCAAAAATTACAATCCATGCAATTTTCAAATTCCTCGAGTTGAAAAGAAAAAAAACATTTGTAAATAATAATGAAAATGTTGAAGTAAATTTGAATTTCGAGAATAAAGTGAATGTTTAAAAGCAGAGAATTTACACGAAAGACACATCAGTTGGTAAAGACAAAATGTAAATAGAGTGGGCGTTGATGGAAAACGAAACCAATTTCCGTTGCAATAAGAAAAAAAAAACGAGAAAAATTTTAATTTATCCGATTGAATAGGCTTCCGTTTGAGGCGCCGATTTCTTCAAGCAAATATTATAAAAGCATAAGAAGTTAATTATGAGGCACGTGTCGTTTTGATAAGGGTCTCATATCCCTACATTGTATCAGGCGAGAATGCACCAACAGTGATTCTCATTCTCGCACATGAGGGAATTTTTGGAAAATTGGTCTGGGTTGTTGGTCGCTCGCTTCGCTCCCTACCATTACGGGTGGGTTGTAATGCGACTGGGTTTTTGGTCGCTCGCTGCGCTCGCTCCCACTGTGGGAGTGTTGGAGAGGGTGTGACCCATTACGGGTCGAACCAATAACTTCCCGACCCATTCCCATTTGTCTGTTTATTAAAACAAAAAACTTAATTTTCGAAATTTTCATCTTGATACCTAGAAAACGGTTGAGACTTTTACTCAGCAGTGAATTTAAATTGAATCACATATAGTTGCATCGATCAGATGAGCATCGGATCGATCAGATGAGCATCGGATCGATCAGATGAGCAACAGATTCCATGGTTTTTCTATGTAAAATTAGTGAATTTTCGAGGAAAAACTTATTTTCGTTCATTTTTTTCACATGTCTTATGCGAATCACTAACATACTGCTGAGTCGATCATTCTCCTAATCGAATTAGTACTAAGTTCCATGAACACGCATCGATTGAAAAAAAGAAAAAACGCCCCCAAAAAAAAGAAACGCAATTTGTGAAAATTCTATCCAAGTTAATGACCAACTGCGGAGGCAATCTTCATCAAAGATATTCGGTCAGTCTCGAATGATATGGAAATTCAATTGTTGATATAAAACAAGAAAAAAAAAGTAACAAGTGGATATCACAATTCTGACAATTTCTTGAAATATTTTTCTTAAATTGTCCTCGACATTATTTTGTGAAATAATGAAAAAAGATAAAAATGAAATCACTATAAAAAAACTCTCCAAAAAATTCGAATCCAAAAATTAATTTTCCTATAACTCCAAAACCGTTGAGACGATTTTACGGGAATTTGACTCTTAGTCATACCGAGCTGCATCGACAATGACGGTAGAAAGTCAATCCCATCGTTCTTCTAGGAGGAATAATGAAATTTGTGAAAAAACGTGATTTTTCGACGTTTTTTCACTAGTTTTATCGGAAAATCTGAAGAACTGCTGAGACGATGTAGTTCAAAATGTAATCAGTTCTAAGTGACATGAGAACACATCGATTGCGTGGAAAAAAATTTCAATCGAATCATTCGTTTCAAAGAAATCGTTGACCAAAATATTGATCACATACGCACACACACACACACATACACACACACACACACACACACACACACACACACACACACACATACACCCATCCAAAAACGTCATAGAATTTTTTCAGGGGTCATGAAACATGGAAATATGATGAAATATCAACATTCGATTTTCGGGGTCATTACAATAACTTCCTCCCTACGGGTCGGGAAGTTAAAAGAAGAAATGATGAAAAATAAAGGGACAGTTGATTAATGATTTTAAAAAAAATCGTTTAAAAAAAAAGATAAGAATTTACATTGAAAAGAAGATAAATGCTATTAGAGTAAAAGTCTTCAATGGGAAAAGAAATCATAAAAAGGAAAAATA